TTCAGAGTTAGCAGTCCACAATACTCGACTACCACCATTTCACACTGTACACTAGTTTCGAAATTAACTACAAAGTTTAAGTTGACCTAAAAATAAATAAAATTTCGTAACCTAAAAAATACGCTGTAGGATTTGAAGCTGCAACCTTCCGATTCAGAGTCAGCAGTCCACACCACTGGACTACCACCATTTCACAAGGTATACTAGTTTCGAATTTAACTATAAAATTTAAGTTAACTTCAAAATAATAAAATTTTGTAACTGAAAAATACGCTGTGGGATTTGAACCCGCAACCTTCCAATTCAGAGTCAGCAGTCCACACTATTCAACTACCACCATTTCACACCGTACACTAGTTTCGAAATTAACTATAAAGTTTAAGTTGACCTCAAATTTAATAAAAAAATTTTAACCTAAAAATACGCTGTGGGATTTGAACCTGCAACCTTCCAATTCAGAGTTAGCAGTCCACACCTCTCGACTACCACCATTTCACACCATACACTAGTTTCAAATGTAACTATAAAATTCAAATCCAGGGTGGGAATTTTAGATTTTAAAATTTATTTCTTTTTGGGTAAATTTGAACTGGATAGTTAATTTTGTAACCACTAAAAAATGTGTAATTATGCTTTGTCCAATGGTATGGACTCCTGAGTCTAAATCTGAAGGTTGAGGGTACAAATACACTGTGGAAATTTTAGATTTTAGATTTTATTCATTTTTGGGTGAATTGAAACTTGATAGTTAATTTCGTAACATTTAAAAATTGTGAAATTACTACTGACTCTCAATCTGAAGGTTGTGGGTTCAATTCCAGGGTGGGAATTTTAGATTTTAAAATTTTATTATTTTTTGGGTAAATTAAAACATTATAGTTAATTTTGTAACCTTTAGAAGGTGTGAAATTAGGCCTAGTCCAATGGTATGGACTACCGACTCGAAATCTGAAGGTTGCGGGTTCAATTCCAGGGGGGGAATTTTAGATTTTAAAATTGTATTACTTTTTGGGTAAATTAAAACATTATAGTTAATTTTGTAACCTTTAATAGGTGTGAAATTAGGCTTAGTCCAATGGTATGGACTACCGATTCGAAATCTGAAGGTTGCGGGTTCAATTCCAGGGGGGGAATTTTATATTTTAAAATTTTATTTCCATTTGGGTAAATGTAAACTTCATAGTTAATTTTGTAACCACTAAAAAGTGTGAAATTGTGCTTAGTCCAATGGTATGGATTGCTGACTCTCAATCTGAAAGTTGCGGGTTCAAATCCAGGGTGGAAATTTTTAGATTTTAAAATTGATGTCTTTTTGGGTAAATTTAAACTTTATTGTTAATTCCGTAACCACTAAAAAGTGTGAAATTATGCTTAGTCCAATGGTACGGATGGCTGACTCTCAATCTGAAGGTTGTGGGTTCAAATCCAGGGTGGGAATTTTAGATTTTAAAATTTTATGACTTTTTGGGTAAATTTAAACTTTATAGTTAATTTCGTAACCACTAAAAAGTGTGAAATTATGCTTAGTCCAATGATACGGACTGCTGACTCTCAATCTGAAGGTTGCGGGTTCAAATCCAGGTTGGAAATTTTAGATTTTAGGTTTTATTTATTTTTGGGTAAATTGAAACTTCATAGTTAATTTCGTAACCACTAAAAAGTGTGAAATTATGCTTAGCCCAATGGTATGGACTGCTGAATTGAAATCTGAATGTTGTGGGTTCAAATCCAGGGTGGAAATTTTAGATTTTAAATTTTTATTACTTTTTGGGTAAATTAAAACATTATAGTTAATTTTGTAACCTTTAAAAAGTGTGAAATTATGCTTAGTCCAATGGTACGGACTGCTGACTCTCAATCTGAAGGTTGTGGGTTCAAATCCAGGGTGGGAATTTTAGATTTTAAAATTTTATGTCTTGTGGGGTAAATTTAAACTTGATAGTAAATTTCGTAACCACTAAAAAGTGTGAAATTATGCTTAGTCCAATGGTATGGATTGCTGACTCTCAATCTGAAGATTGTGGGTTCAAATCCAGGGTGGAAATTTTAGATTTTAAATTTTTATTACTTTTTGGGTAAATTAAAACATTATAGTTAATTTTGTAACCTTTAAAAAGTGTGAAATTATGCTTAGTCCAATGGTACGGACTGCTGACTCTCAATCTGAAAGTTGCGGGTTCAAATCCAGGGTGGAAATTTTAGATTTTTAAATTGATGTCTTTTTGGGTAAATTTAAACTTTATTGTTAATTCCGTAACCACTAAAAAGTGTGAACTTATGCTTAGTCCAATGGTATGGACTGCTGACTCTAAATCTGAAGGTTGTGGGTTCAAATCCAGGGTGGAAATTTTAGATTTTAAAATGTATTTCTTTTTGGGTAAATTTAAACTTGATAGTTAATTTTGTAACCACCAAAAAGTGTGAAATTATGCTTAGTCCAATGGTATGGACTGCCAACTCTAAATCTGAAGGTTGCGGGTTCAAATCCATGTTGGAAATTTTAGATTTTAAAATTTTATCTCTATTTGGGTAAATTTAAACTTCATAGTTAATTTCGTAACCACTAAGAAGTGTGAAATTATGCTAAGTCCAATGGTATGGATTGCTGACTCGAAATCTGAAGGTTGTGGGTTCAAATCCAGGGTGGGAATTTTATATTTTAAAATTTTATCACTTTTTGGGTAAATTAAAACATTATAGTTAATTTTGTAACCTGTAAAAAGTGTGATATTGTGCTTATTCCAATGGTACGGATGGCTGACTTGAAATCTAAGGGTTGTGGGTTCAAATCCAGGTTGGAAATTTTAGATTTTAAAATATATTTCTTTTTGGGTAAATTTAAACTTGATAGTTAATTTTGTAACCACCAAAAAGTGTGAACTTATGCTTAGTTCAATGGCATGGACTGCCGACCCTAAATCTGAAGGTTGCGGGTTCAAATCCAGGTTGGAAATTTTAGATTTTAAAATTTTATGTCTTTTTGGGTAAATTTAAACTTGATAGTTAATTTCGTAACCACTAAAAAGTGTGAAATTATGCTTAGTCCAATGGTACGGACGGCTGACTTGAAATCTGAAGGTTGTGGGTTCAAATCCAGGTTGGAAATTTTAGATTTTAAAATTTTAAGTCTTTTGGGGTAAATTTAAACTTGATAGTTAATTTCGTAACCACTAAAAAGTGTGAAATTATGCTTAGTCCAATGGTACGGATGGCTGACTCTCAATCTGAAGGTTGTGGGTTCAAATCCAGGGTGGGAATTTTAGATTTTAAAATTTTATGACTTTTTGGGTAAATTTAAACTTTATAGTTAATTTCGTAACCACTAAAAAGTGTGAAATTATGCTTAGTCCAATGATACGGACTGCTGACTCTCAATCTGAAGATTGTGGGTTCAAATCCAGGTTGGAAATTTTAGATTTTAAAATTTTATGTCTTTTTGGGTAAATTTAAACTTGATAGTTAATTTCGTAACCACTAAAAAGTGTGAACTTATGCTTAGTCCAATGGTATGGACTGCTGACTCTCAATCTGAAGGTTGTGGGTTCAAATCCAGGGTGGAAATTTTAGATTTAAAATTTATTTCTTTTTGGGTAAATGTAAACTTTATAGTTAATTTTGTAACCACCAAAAAGTGTGAACTTATGCTTAGTCCAATGGTATGGACTGCTGACTCTAAATCTGAAGGTTGCAGGTTCAAATCCAGGTTGGAAATTTTAGATTTTAGATTTTATTCATTTTTGGGTAAATTGAAACTTCATAGTTAATTTCGTAACATTTAAAAATTGTGAAATTACACTTAGTCCAATGGTATGGACTACCGACTTGAAATCTGAAGGTTGCGGGTTCAATTCCAGGGGGGGAATTTTAGATTTTAAATTTTTATCTCTATTTGGGTAAATTTAAACTTCATAGTTAATTTCGTAACCACTAAGAAGTGTGAAATTATGCTAAGTCCAATGGTATGGATTGCTGACTTGAAATCTGAAGGTTGTGGGTTCAAATCCAGGGTGGGAATTTTATATTTTAAAATTTTATCACTTTTTGGGTAAATTAAAACTTCATAGTTAATTTTGTAACCACTAAAAAGTGTGAAATTGTGCTTAGTCCAATGGTACGGACAGCCGACTTGAAATCTGAAGGTTGTGGGTTCCAATCCAGGGTGGGAATTTTAGATTTTAAAGTTTTATTTCTTTTGGGTAAATTGAAACTTGATAGTTAATTCCGTAACCACTAAAAAGCATGAAATTATGCTTAGTGCAGTGGTTCAGACTGCTGACTCTAAATCTAAAGGTTGCAGGTTCATTCCCACGCTGGGAATTTTAGATTTCAAAATTTTACTACTTTTTAGGTCAATTGAAACTTTACAGTTAATTTTGTAACCACAAAATAGTGTGAAGTTGTGCTTAATCAAGTAATACGGACTGATGACCCTAAATCTGAACTTCTGAAAGTTGCTGGTTCAAGTCCCACAGTTGGAGTTGTAGATTTTAAAATTTTATTAATTTTGAGGTCAATTGAAATTTATATTTTTTTCAAGTTTGAAACCAGTCCACACTTCTAGTCTAGCAAAAGCCAAAAAGTAAAAAAGCAAATACTTTTAGCTTGAAGCAAATAGTGAAAGCATTTGCTCTCATTTTTATTCATGCAAATAAAAGTTATGCTTAAAAATATGTAGTAAAAAAAAAAGCAAATGCTAGTTTTTATACATACGACCAAATGTTTCAATGTTAATCATAATTGCATCGTTTATGTTTCAGTAATAGATTTGAGGACCTACATGGATCTGTTTGGGCCTACAACGACGCCCATTCACTGAGCGGATTCGGGATTGCCCATCGAGAACTCGAAAAGATAGGAGAGACCAAGGCCAGTTGCTTTGGTAAAATTTTTCATTCAGGTAAGACAAACTTCCATGAAGACTCAACTCATTAGTTCAAGTCCCCCCCCCCCAACTAAGCCCTCGGACAACACTGAGTGTACACTGTTTACAAAACATGTCCGGTTTTATTTAGTTAAGTGGCTTTCAGGCTGTTAGTTCTCCCACATTTTAATGGTGGTCCCTCATTTGACATGTTGTCATCAAACGTTCTTTTGTCAAAGCCATCGGGGCAGAATATTTTTGGCATGCTGTTGGAAAGAACCAATTTTCAACTTTTGTTCTTGTGAAAATCCTGTTGCGTGACATCACAGCCTGTGTTGTGATGTGAATGAGTTCTACCTGATTGATAAACGTGACCCGACTCAGAGGTGGCATGTCTTGGTGACAGTCCCTCGCTTGTCAGTTGGTACAGAATGTCATTTGGTGACAAGTGAACGTCCTAATCCAAAGTCAAGGAGTCATGTCCCACAGTATCTCCGGGGTTATCCACGATGTTGCCGACGGCTCCGAATCCTCCTCAGGCGTTATCGTCATGACGACTGTCTGCTCCATGTTCCCAAGGGTGCCCTCCGAGGACGACATCATGGCCATGTGTGAGATGTCCTGTGATTGGTCAGCCAGGTCTGGTACCAAGACTGTGATTTAGCTGCAGATTCCTCGGGGGCTGATTTGGATAATGCGCAGGCCTGAGCGTACAGCCGTGGCTGTGCTAGATGGTGGTGCAGCAGCTGGGTGTGCTCCTCAGACATGTGTTGCAGTAACTCTTGCAAAATGGACTGGTTCTCGCTGTCGTTGGTTAGATGTTTCAAACTGGACGTGTGAATCATGGACAGCTGCTGCTTGAGTGACATGTTTGTGTTGGACAAATACTCAACCTGGAGGGCAAGACGGATGGGCAGAGAAATTATTTGTTTACAGATGGAATTTTAATAGACCAATCCATTAGGCTCTGCCCCATGATGTGTAACCAATCACAACCATGACAGCGCACACCAAAGTCTGACATTTATGCACTTCATGATGTGTGCAGTTGGAGCATGAATGCTTAAGAAGGCACATGTGTTGTTACCCAGTTATTTAGTGCAACTAGAGTTTGAGTGAAACCATGAATCCTCTACACAAGGATAAACGACACATCTGAGCTTGTGTACAAAATGTGTGCAACAATTTGTCTGCATTTATCATAAGCAGCGTCAGCGCATAGAACAACGTAGAACGTGTAGAAAATGTAGAGCAATGACAACAACAGTGCACACCATGATCGCCCACAGCCATGACAGCTGGCATCCTGACAGAAATCTGACCACTGAAAGAACGCAGTCGCATTAGTGTGCCTGCATTAGTTCTGATCAAGGTATGTCCCCCCTCCCACTTTTGAGAAGCGATTGACGCCCTTGGTACCTGTTGCATGCAGGGAACAAGATCCAAACTCATTCTTAGACCAAGACCAGATGGAATGCCCACTCACCTTTGTACGAAGCCTTTCTATAGTACCTTTCATTCTGTGCTCTGTCTGGGCCCACGTGGTCCGCTCCTCCTCAAGAGTCTTCTCCAGACTTTCCTTCTCCTGCAGCAGCAGCGACAAGTTGTGCTCTGTGTAGCAAGTCTCGTCCTCCAAATCCTCTTTGCTTCCTTCATCTGGTATTTCAATAAGGACAACTGTTTACGAGAGGGAAAGGTTGAGTAATTATCCTGAATAATGATTCCTGTAATAATGAAAGTCGGTCATCAAAAGGTCACTCCAGGTGTGGGCTACACAAAGAGGGGAAATGATGGGAGGAGTTTATGGAGTAGAAAGGTCGACATATATGTTGCGCTTGAATGGGACAGATGATATGTAGCGGTAAAAACAGGATACAGGCAAGAAAGTCCAAAGTGATGCAGTGTGTCAAGAACATGTAATTCCTTGTAACTGGGTGCAAGCAATCACTCACTTTTTCAAACCGTATTCCTAACATTAGGTGGGCAAGGTGAAGGACAAATGCCAATATTTAATTAATTGTTGAAGTCAGCTCTCAAAATGTACTGCCACCCTGACTTATTAGATTTTTTTTGTTGCTTAGAACCTTCCTGAATCCTCCAAAATTCAATCAACTTAAATAACGCCAATGGCACACCCTTTGCACCTTGTAATTTCAATTTGTAAAATCCACTGTCAATATTGGCCCTCATCCACCCCAACCCCCTAAAAAAATGCTGAACTTTTGGTTGTTGTTTTATTTATTTTATTGACCAAACAAGTGCAGGAGTGAAGACAACTGTATTAAACATGCTGTTGTCTACCTATTCCCTTCTTCCATATGGATTCACGATATATCAATTGAAAACAAAGTGGGGGGGGGGGAAGAGTTCTTCCTTGCATCAAATGCCTCCCCCTTGGCTTTTTGGTCAGCTTCTTCTAATTATCCTTCACTGCTGGTGGCATTATCCACCTTAACCTCTGGGTAGATGCTGAAGGATTCTTGGAGGGTCAGGGTTAATATTCTTACCATCTTACCTTCCCCATTGGCAGTGCTCTGGCTCGGATCATTGATGCAGGCATACTAGTACTCGATCTGCGGCTGCTGCCCATCAGTCTGCTCATAGCCCCGGGGATGATGTGTCCGTCTCTGATGGCTGCTGTGACTGGGGGACTATGAGGTGTGTTACCAGGCAGGTACTGTTGGGTGCTGGGTCAGTGTATGTGGTGAAGATCTGGTTGACATCCTGGGTAAAAATGGTGGAGTGCAGTCGTTAAGGTTGATAAAATGAGACTTAAACCTGCAAGGTAGCAAAAGATTCAATTTACGACACAAACGTACAGTGATTAACTTAGGTTCACAATTAATTATTTTAAAAGACACGAAGTGTTGGCATTTGATATAATCCACCCAAATCCTTGTAGAACTACCATACCTGCTCACAAGGTACATAAATTTCAACTGATTAAATTTATTCCATGGTTTTTTTTTCATGCAGATTGTACAAGGGGACCATTACATCACAGCAACGGCATACTCAGTTGTCTTGAAGCAGCACTGAAACTGTGAAGGTTAAAAATAAGTGCGCTTTCAAACACATTAAACCAAAAAGGTGTGTCTAATCATTCTCAAAAGAATGGATACTTGAGGCAAAACTTTTCGATTAAAAAAACCCAGATTTTGTTCAACAAGTTCACTTCATGGTTTTTTGGGACACCCCTCTACAGGGAGTTTATCGAACACTGATATCTGCTAAGAATAACCAGCCCAGGTATCTTTCAATTTCATAAAACTCCCACAAATGCCACTACCTTGTCCTGCTGTCCACTACCTTCAACTTATCTTTATAATTAACCCTAACCCTGCCACATGCAGCACAGTGCATCAGGTGGAAAAGTCTGGTTGTATGTGATTGTATAAAAACGGCTACGCCAATACAATCAGTAGAAAATCTCATTTTCTACTCAAATCCAAATCTTCACAGCAGTTTTCAAAGTGGCAGTTCATAAAAACCAGGCATAAAACATTTAACAAAGAAACCACTCGCAGATGGGATCTCTTTTGAGGCGGTGGAAGAGGTTTTAGAAGGCTTTTTTGGAGAGCAAACAGTCACCTCGGAAAGAATGTTGCAACCTGACGCTACTTCTGCAGTTGTGTACAAAGTCTATGGAGAGTCAAGATTTTTTTTAAAGTATTTCCTAACAAAATTGGAAATGTTTCTCAGTCCCAGATTCATGTCTTATCAATATATCATCATTTTTGCAATTACTGACCTTCATTGAGATGATATACGAAGGAAAAAGCAGCGTTAGGTGGCAACATTCCGTCACCTCTGATGCTGAACCAACACGAGGTAGTGATGTAGAAAAACATTGGCCATTTTTTGCGCACTTAGTACTTGGACCAATTTTTTTCTTGCATAAACTAAATTCTACACAGTTGTGGACTTTAACATTGAAAGAATGACTAATATTAACTACATTGAAAAATAATTTGAACAATATCGAACGTCAAGGAAGCACCAAGAACGTCATCGTCTGCAGATGAGTCACATTGGCTGCCACGAAAGTCTCCATTGTGTCCTACTTCTTAAACCAATGTGGATTTGTCATCCGACATTGTTATTAAATGCGCGTTTGTTTATATATGAAATAAATGAATTTCTTTCCATTTTGGTAAAAACAACTGCATGCATAATATTTAAAATCATATCATAATTGAAAATAGGAGATAAATAAAATAAATCCACAAATATTATAATATACTTTTGTCGAAAGTCTAAGAAGCTTAGTTAAATCCTATGCATGGAAAGAGTTCCGAGAATGTTTTGCTGAAAATCATCCGTGTGCCAATTACATAACATTTTACAAATGTATACAGATTCTCCCAAAATAGAAACATTTGCAATATAACTTTAGTATGCCGTTGCTATATTTTTAAAGTTTAGTCGGACTCCCTATTATCGCAGCATCCCTATTATCGTGGAATGGGAAATTTCTCTTTTTGTGTTGCCTAAACTCCTTCAAGTGGCGATTTTTATCCAGTTCACCAGGCATTAAGGACTTTCTGCCGAGTTGTATAAAAAGGATGATTAAAAAATGTTGTGTCTTTCTAGTTTTGTTTTGACTACTTTAGGTATCTTAATTATTTGTGAGTTGTCGCTTCACCACTGTAGCGAACCAGGTTGGCAGTGAAATGCAGTAATAATAGGTGAGCTACAGTGACGCTGTGTTTAATCAATTTAAATTTTTCGGCAGTCTTTTTTATTATTCTTTACTTCGTGTGAAACAAATATCAACCTCATTTATATTTCATAGGTAAAAATACTGTCCAAAGTATCTCAACAGTTTTTAGACAAAAGTCTGTTAATAATTATTTCTATTGGCAAAGTTATAGCCACAAAAAAACATTTCATTTAGTGTTTACTTACATATGCACCCGTCACTGGAAACATTTAAGCATATAGTTCCCTCCAGCATTCGAAGTAGAATTCAATATTTTGTGTCGCTCCTGTACGGTGGGGTTCAACACTGCTATATTATTACTTTTTTATTAGTATAGATATAGGCCTAGTTTGATGCTCCCGGGGATTTGTAAAATGTCCAACATAATATTTGCACATAGCCCCTCTCTAGCTCTATTGACGCTCCTTCGACTTTCATTACCTTGGCGAAGAGCCACTCAAACTGGTCAAGGGGAAAAACTGACAAACTAGTGTTCAGCGTAAACAGCTTATTTATTTCCCTTAAAGCCATTTCTCCCTGTGGAAACTTACTTGAGTTGCGTAAACAGCGCCGGCCTAGCCCTCCAGAAAAAAAGAAAACATGGGTTTAAAGGGAATATACATCATTTGCTTTTGCTGTAATTTTCAGAAATGGATGGAATTGGGGGTTGGAAATATATAGCAAATTTAGTTACACTGACTTTTTTGAGGTTTTGGGTTCGAAAATGCTATAAAAACCAAGAAAAACAATCATTTTTCTGTAGTCTGGTTCCCTGACTCCATATAAGAAGAAACAGAGCAGTTTACATACATTGGGGAATTGTAAGGTCAGGGAACCAGTCTAGCTGGCTCGTACCCGTTCATAGGTTTGTAATCGATTGCAAACAAGTGTGATGGTCAATTGGGGCCAGTATTTGAAAAAAAGCCAGTTTTTTCCAACGCTGATCGGCCGATCAGCGTTGGAAATTGATACAAAAATACCACTTTTCTTGAAAATGACAGTATACCAGGTGCCATGATTTTACAGGATGCTTTACACTGTCATTCACTAACAGTCCAGCAAGGTATTTCAAAATGATTTGGTAGTTTTATTTTTTGATGTTGCCAAATGTTGTATTTTCCCTTTAAAGAGTTTTTAAAAATTCGATTCATTCCGAATGCGGCTTCGTCTACTATAAAAATTTAAGAAGATTATGAAATTTCCACACAGCTACCCAGAAAGCGTGAGTTGTCAAATAATAATAGACAAATAAATATTGTTGAGCTTCCGTTATGGAAGACGTATGCGTCTCGTTAAAAAAAAAAGGATACCACTAGTTCAATATATATGAAGCTGAAGCAGTAGGGACCTGCGATGGAGGCCGATGTTTCGAAAGAGCTTGCATGCCAATCGAACGACACATGAGGGCAGCATTCAACAACATAAACACGCGACTGTAAATCTGACTCGTAAATCTGGCGCTATCTTCCGAGTGGCCGAAACCTGTTGCCTGTGTCACTTTCTTGGTCAGTATCAGTAGATAATTTTATCTAACCATTTAATAAATGATAACATTAATTTAGTTGTTTATATTAGCTATTGGTGAAATCTGTATTATTTTATTTAGTGAAACTGAAACGTACTGCAAAAAGTGGCCATATCGGACATGATACTTTGAGTTTGATAGACGTACTGCGTTTATTATTTGTATTCAATAGCGTGGTATCTCATTCGTGGAAAGTTTGAGATGCAACAATTAACATTAAAGGAAAGATTCCCATATCTGGCCATCACTTGCCACCCTGTGCACAAACCCTTTGAGACTGGTCTGAAAATTTTTAAGTGTTTTCTCAGTTGAGTTAGCTGGAGTTACCCAGCACCTAGTCCGAGTAACTTGGACCCAACTTATCGCCTTTTTTAACATTTGGACATGGTCTGGCGATAGTAAGGTCCAAGCTAATACCGAGACCTAGACAACACAGTCCCAAAAACCAACATTTTCGAACAAAAAACATCAGAAATTTTCCGTTCAATTCTGAAGACCCCCTCTGCCTAGGTTGTCGTCGTTGTGCTCACGTTCAAAACTGCATGATAATGGCGTCTGACCTCGACCTCATGCAAATGTCGTGACGACACGGCAGATTCCCCTGCGCCGCGCCGACGACTGTTTCCTGATGTAGAGTGCTGTGTAAGTTCGTGGTACGCCTAGGAGTCGCGCTGGCTAGCCAGGCGCATGGCTGGCGCTCTACATCAGGAAACAGTCGTCGGCGCGGCGCAGGGGAATCTGCCGTGCATGCAGTGCATTATGCGCAAGCGCGCCGTCCCGACATTTGCATGAGGTCGAGGTCAGACGCCATTATCATGCAGTTTTGAACGTGAGCACAATAACGACAACCTAGGCAGAGGGGGTCTTCAGAATTGAACGGAAAATTTCACTTTTTTCCGGATCGTAAGTAAACTTAAGTACAACCATCTTAATCATCTATGTCTACTTGTACCTCAGGTGACATGTCTAGTAATTTGGAGGCCGTTTTGAAGGCGAAATCTGATGTTTTTTGTTGGAAAATGTTGGTTTTTGGGACTGTGTTGTCTAGGTCTCGGTATTAGCTTGGACCTTACTATCGCCAGACCATGTCCAAATGTTAAAAAAGGCGATAAGTTGGGTCCAAGTTACTCGGACTACCCAGCACCCAATTGGGTATCATTGGGTTGTCATCTAGATGACAACCCAATGATAAAATTTAGGGCTGGGTAACTCCAGCTACAGTTGAGTTAATACTTCGGCCATCGTGCAGGGCCCGGTTCCTATAACTTGGGGAACAAAATCCA